TTCCCTATCCCAGCCCCAAAGGTGCAAGAAAACAAAGCAGACTTAAAATACATTCCAAGTCCTTTTTAATAGGTAAGACAAAGAACAAGTTAATTGAAGGTTCAAATCTGAAAGAGCTTGCTTTATTTCTTTAGGAAGAGGAAGGTCACTTTTCCATTAACATTTGTGGATCACTCTTTACAAGCACCAAACAGGCAAGTAAGATACAGCAAAAAAGGTATCTAAACGCAGATGATTAACTACAGACATGCCAGTAAGTGCTACTTGTTTATTTAGCCAGCAGACTGTTATCAGTGCTAGATGTGAAGGATGACAGTTTCAAACTCAACAAATTGATTGTACCCAGTACTTATGCAAAGAACTACGTAGGCAACCACGACAGTTACCTAATCATTAATTTACTTTTAAGCCCAGACTGATTTCCCCTTTCATTTCCCCTTTCACAGAGTATGTTTTAGGTACATGGGAGAAATAAAAAAGTATTCTTTACAAGCATATTTTCTTTTTTTTTTTTTTTTCCCCTTTTTTTACTGGCTATCCAAATCTCTTGAACAATATTGATTCTGTTAAAATCCATCTAAAATAATTGGAAAAGTCACAATGAGTTTCACTGCAAGAAGAGCGTGAAAAAGTATCCCTCCATCTGCTGAAATATTCTTGCTAGTGTGCTGAAACAAGTGAGAGAAAATTAATTTTTACAAGATTAGTACTTCTTTCCCTCAAGAAACTACTCAGAAGTTTTTCACGCTGAAGACACCTCGCCCAATGAAATGAATCTAACTGTATTACAAGTTGGTCCCAAAATATCACTCCCACAAGAACTGCTTCAGAAACACAAGTCAAGAGCCATCTCAATAAGCTGTGGTACTTCTGAAAGAAAACAAGAGTGGAAAACTTCTGGTTTGTCAGTTTCATTAAAAAATCCAAGCAGAAACTCTTCCACAGTAGTATGTAGGTATTTTCACCAGAATTAGGAAAATATGACCAGAGTAACAAACAAGATCTTTGTCAGTTCTCTTGCCCATAAATAAAACACAGCCAAAGATTAATATAAAAAGCTACCACTTTCTAGAAGAAAACAGTAACTGGCTTACTTACTCGAATCAGGCATAATGCGAAGGTCACCTTCTTTATAATCATCTAAGAGTTGGTACATGTACAAGACGGGATCTTTCTCATAGGTGATATAAAACCATGTGTTCATAATAGGAGCTCGAGCCAAAACCATCCCCCTCCACTCATCTTTTGAGCCATCCTCTGTCTCAAACATATGTTCCACAGCTTTACCAATCATTGTGTCTGCCAGGTGGGCATCACTAATTCGAGATGAAGCTGAAATTACAGCATTTAGTAAGTTCATTCAAAAGCACAGATATATGTCTTTGTGAAAAATAATCTCTACCCTGACTTGTAAGCAGCTTCTGACTGGAAGCTAAATCAATTCCTATACAAAACAAATACTGTCCATTCCAAAAAGCTTACTACTGAAGAGCAGCAGCAGTTATTTAAATAATAATATATCATTATACTCCTTACAGTTAAACAATCATAATGCAAGGTAAACGGAGATCAGTTGAGGCCACAGCAGAGCAGGTTCTTTTTATTTTAACCAGACACTAGACAGGGAGAGGCAGGCAGGGGGGAAGAGGAAGAGAGGCCAATCACAGACTATTCTATGAAGTTATTAATCAAACTTTGGGGTTTGGTTCCCTCTAATGCCACTCTAGAGACTGCTACCAATTGCTTTGCAGTCAGAAGAAGCACCAGCTTATTTTGTTTATAAATTAGTAATTCCTTGGGTAAATAAATACTGAACTTTGCTAATTTTGAAGATCAAAAACCCTTGCTACTAATCAAGCTATTTCACTTAGAAGATGCCCTTTCCCCCCATTACTAAAAGTACTTAGGAAAGTTACAGGAGGACATGTGACATTACTGTCAGAGACACAACAGAAAATACCAACCATTTAAATTCTAACAGAAACATTAATCTAAACAAAACCTACAGAAGGTATTGCCTATTACTTGAAGACCAAAACCAGCAATGCACTCCCTGGTATCATCAAATCTTTGTGGAATCAAGAAAATTTAAACAGAGCATTTAGATCACCTGCCATGAGACATCAATGAAATTGATTAGTAACATTAAAGTGGTCATATGTTACCTTGAGGCAAGTCTGGAGAGATTTGTGGAGAATATTTAATAGTAAATGTCAGGTTATTTGTATGTGAATTTAGGAGAAAAACCCAAAACACTTACCAACTCTGTCTGGAAGAACTTCTAGTGCTGAAACTCTTTCATCTTTGTGCAGTTCTAGTCCATACACACAGTCAAATCCATCATACTTTATAAGATAGAGAGAGGGATTTACAGGAACTTGATCAAGAACTGTGCCCTTCCACTGTGTTATAGGTCCACTACCTTCTTTCCATCCATGCTGTATTCTGCAGCCTACAATATTTCTTCGTGGCTGAGAAATAGGTTTGCTTGGTCCCACATTGTTTCTATGCTTTCTGTACACAGATACAAACATAATATTAAACAAGTACATACATATATTCAAGATTCTACTGTAGACAACAGTTGTATGCTTTGACATGGCAATATGTTTTATAGTTATGTGCACCTTACTAAAATTAGGGTATAAAGCATATTATACTATATTGGAAAAAAGAAAAACACACTGAAAAGCAGCGAAACATTTCTTACGTGTGTTGTAAAGTTAGTTTACTAAGTTTTTTCTAAAACTACTTTGCTTAAGCCAAAAAAACTATTTTAGCCCTTGCTACACTGAATGGCAAAAGTCAAACTTACCCGATCAGGTCTCAAAGCACAAGTCACCTAGCGATATTATAACTTTACTACCTGGTTGCTCCCTCTAGAAGAGTAAACACAGCTCCTCTCCCAGGATGAGGACATCAGTGAAAACATTACCAGTGGTTGACTAAAATTCTTCCAGGGTGTTTGTTTTCCCTAACCTGTTTTCATCTGAAGGAAATTTAGCTTCCTTATCTGTTTACAGATGTTTTTGACTCCTGAGTATTTTTAAAGACAGATGCTAGCAGCAACACTTCTCTTGCATTCCTTCTTAGTATAGCAAAAGAAAAATGGTATGTAATCATAATAGCAATAGAATGGATACTCCTTCATGTGGAAAGGAGACCTAACAGCAGCCTTCCAGTAGCTAAAGGGGGCCCATATAGATGCTGGAGAGGGACTCTTCATCAGGGAGTGTAGTGACAGAACAAGGGAGAATGGGTTTAAACTTAAACAGGGGAGATTTAGGTTGGATCTAAGGCAGAAATTCTTTATAGTGAGGGTGGTGAAGCACTGGCACAGGTTGTCTAAAGAAGTGGTAAATGCTTCATCCCTGGCAGTGTTCAAGGCCAGGTTGGACAGGGCCTTGGGTAACACGGTCTAGTGTGAGGTTTCCATGCCCATGGCATACAGGTTGGAACTAGATGATCTTAAGGTCCTTTCCAACCCAAACTATTCTATGATTCCGTGATTCTATAATAGATCAAATATACTTTTTTATTATTCTGCTATTTTCATGGAAGTTGTATGGAAATTCCCTCTGGTAAGTAACAATTGTTCTGGTCAATGGTCATGGAAGCTATCTGACAGTTTCAAATCACAGAAAGTTTTGTTCTACCCAGTTATTAAAAACACAAATTGACAATTCTGAATACAAATTAAAGTAAGAAATATTATGATATAATATTGGTGATAAGAAATTAGTCTTGTAGCTATTTTAGCATGTTACAATACACATACTGATTCCTTTTAGGACTGCCCAGTAATTATTCTCATAAATGTTAACCAGTTGTAAAAGTAATTTTTGGTTTACTACTTGTAGCACGCTTCATTTAAATGGCAGTAAAATGTGCACACCAGTAGCATGCTTAAAAGCAACATCTAAAAGAGACTATCAATTGCAGAGAATAATACTCTTCCTTAGTGATCAACGCTCTAAGAGAAGCCCCTGTATGATCCAAAAAAGACAAGTAACAATCGCACCAGTGAAATCCTGGAAGCAGTCTTTCAGAGTAATGTACTCACTCCATGACACTGTAATGCTTAATGGACATGGCAATGCTTGATGCTGAAGATGTAATCATAACCATTAAAAACAAGGCATAATATTCCTTCACCAGTTTTTCCCACCACCAGGCCTTCATTCACCATGAAGATACTAGCAAAGGGTTTTATCAAATTTCACTTTTGTTATCATTTCAGCTTTTTAGCAAGATCAAACTAAGGGTTTTGTATTTCTGACTTCGCTAGCACAGATATTTATAGAACACCAATCTCTTTCAGTTAAGAGGCATTGTCTAGAATGGGTTTTCAAATCTTACTTCTTGCTTAAGCGCATATATGTGGGGTTTTTGGGTTTTGTTTTTTAACTGCAATAGTGCAAGTAATAGTTTACTGTTACAAAATGAGATCAGAGATCCGGTCCTTGGCACAATAAAAAACATTGTTTTGTATGAAGCTTATTCATTCTAATGAATCTTAATTCCATTCTAAAGCAAAATCAACTGACCATTAAAAAAAGATAATGTTGTTTTACCAATTTCAAGCAGTTCATCTATGCTGCTAAGCATCATTGTTGAAAAAGGTAAAAATAAGACTACTGATGTTCAACCTCACAGTCAATTTTATTCTGCCTAATCCACTTAAATGTTTAAATTGGAACAATAAAGCAAAAAGCTTCACACTCATTTGAAAAATATGATGGGAAAAGATTACATAACTGAGTTCAAACTGAGTTCACTACCTTTAAAATGCCTCAGAGAGCAAAAAGCATTATAAATTTAATTACAAGTCAAGTACCCTTCAGATGTACTTGCAGTTCAAATTTTTGTTTGTGGATACTAAACAGCCATTCAGTCTCATTTACACTGGCTCGCAATGCAAGAAATGAGATTTTCAAACTAGTAAATTACCAAGGAAAACCAACTTCTTGCATCTGAACATGTGGTAAGAAAGCAAGCAGAAGTTTGTAACTACCTATAAGTAATAGTTATGGATAAATTTTCATGTAAGACATCCAAGTAACCAACTCAAACCACTCCTCAACAGCGCATTATTTCTATGATACACCAAGTAATACAAATGTACACCATCTTCCATGATGCTACATCCAGAAGGCTCAACACACATTTTTTATTTTTTTTTAATTGTGTTTCATTACAGTTATCTTTGAAATTCCACGAAGATTTGCTCTTGAAGATGGGATAACAATTTTCCTGGACACATAAAACATGGAGCCAGGAAAACAAGAAAATAGTAAGTACTGGAAACAGCTGTTGACATATCAGACACATCCTCACTGTAAATAGCCCTTCAGTCCCCAAAAATTTCAGATCCTCTTCTTTATCCTGAAGGCAGTAAGCTAGTAAGTAAAACCTAGCTGGCATGAGAAAGTTTCATTACCAGGACAGTTTAGAAACTTTTTAAGGACTACACAGGCAGAAGGAATTCTTCCCAGATTTTGAAGTTGTGTTTATATGGTCCTCATGCAAGTTTTTATTTGGCAGCTGCTACCAGAGAAACCAATGTTAATGCTGAACTGCACAGAACCGGTAGCAGAAAAATCAACCATTACTTCAGGGTTGTACTTAAATGACAAACCAGCATTTATAAAAAGGAGAACAGCAATTCCCAGTAACCTATCAAGTAAAGTTAACTATTTTATCCATGTAGGTTTGGTGGTCATAGTTTCTTTTCTTTGTTGTTGTTAAGGTTTTTTGTTTGTTTTGTTTTGCTTTTTTTTGTTTGTTTGGTTTGGGTTTTTTAAACACCTTACCATCTCATCTCAGAAAGCCACCACAGGGTAGTACTAAGTAAAAAAGCCAGAAGGGTGAAAGAAAACCATACACAACAGATGTGCAAAAAAGATATAACTGTGAAAAATGGGAAGGAAAACTATGAAGCAGTATAAATGCAGTACAACAGCAACAGTCAGTGGAATTTCAAGCCTTCTGTGGTACTAAGCAGAAAAGTTATTAAAAATAAGACCCAAAACTTTTGGCAATTGTGATCCCATTACAGACTATCACTAATAGCAGAATAGTGATGGCAGAATTGTTATTAACTACTTTTCACAATATTCAGACTGTAAGGCACACTAGTTGAGGCAAAAGTTTTAAAGTACTTCCAGTACTCTCTCAAATTCAGCTGTGAATTTCATCTTCAGCTGCTGCAGGAACCAAGATTAAAAGTTAGCTTGACCAGAATTTTGAAATATTTAAGTTCACCTGTACCTAAATAGCAGGTATAACCTGCACCTCCAAGTCCTTGAATTGCCAACTACAAGAAATGGAGAGCCTATGAAGAAAGGACTGTTTTATATTTACGTTGTTTCTTGTACTCTTTTCTTATGCATCAAGGGTGGAAAGAACGGTATCTGGGAGATTACTGACTGATCTGATGCCAGGAAGGTCAGCTTCATATTGACAGAGATTACCACTGCCCATTGACAAGAGCACTTGGAAGAACTGTCCTAGAACTACAGGAATTGTTCCCAAAACGTTCAACAGTTAACTACCATTTAGTAAAGAATAGTTCAGAAGACTCATCCACTCCGCTCATTTACTCATCCACATCCTCAATTACTGAGTCATGCCCTGTTCTATCCTCTTGGCTTTTGGCTCCTTCCTCTGCCACAAACCTTCTAAAGCTAGTCTGAAGTCTCCTGGACAGCCTTTGAGTGCCACTAGACTTGTTTCTCTTTTTCTTTAAATGAGAAGTAACTAACTAACTAAATTGGTAACAAAGTATGCATTAGTAAGTCAAGGTCTATCATAAGGGCTCAGAGTAGTAATCAGGATATATTATTACACGGTCATTCATATCCTACTCATTTATGGTAAACGACAAATGTAAGAAATTCTCTACTACTATGCCTCATTTTCAGAACGAATTGGGGACAGCGCGTAGGAAGTCATCTTGATTTGGTACAAAACCCCCCCTAGTAAATAATTAATAAACAAGTGAACTAAACTAAATTAACACAAAACTAAGCTGGACCCTCAAGTTAAATGCCTCAAAATTATGTCACTTAGGATCAAAACTTCTTATGCCCCATAAAAGCCTTCATGCTAACAGATTTACAGCCTATTTAGGTATTTAAATAAGTGTATATTAACACAACAATAAAGACAAATCTAGCCACCCTCAAGTACAAAAGGCAACCCACCTCTGATAGTCTTCCCATCAAACACTCCTTTCTCTGAGCGGTTGAAAGAGAACAAGAGAAATTAAGTTTTAACCAACTCTAACTGCCCCTAGACAAATAAATGTTTCTCTTTGCCTTCTATGAAGGTAGACAAGAATGGATAATGATGAGCTGGTGGAAGGAATTAAGAGTAGTTTTACATCAGGTGTTGTCTGTAGGAAACAGTTAACACTGTTAGTAGTGATTAACTATCTTAATTGTGGAAAATACACCTGCCAAACAAAGAGCTTTTGATTGTTGCACCACTGTAAGTCTTTACACTTAAAATATAGCTAATAACATTTTAGTGTATTTCACACTTACCCAGCTTAGATTTCTCCCACCACAGATGCAGCCAGATGTAACTACATTATCTGTAGTCATATCACTGTCAAACCTCGCTGTTTGACACTAGTAACAATTATGCCCAGAACATTACCTTTATTTTCACACAGCTACTCACCCATGTTCAGCTGCTACCATTTAAGTATGTTGTAGAGGGAAAACAACATTACATGAACATGTGGGACAATCAGGTATCCTTCAACATCAATCAGCAGCCTTCTTACAGAAGTATTTCAATATATTCTTTATTTTTTAAAAGTGAAAAATCTGTTTCAAAACTAAAGTGGTAGTGAATACAAGATTACATATTTTTAAGATTACTTCCAGACTGGATTATTGGTAAGCATGCTCTGCAGTTTTTATTGGCTGGGTGACAACACATGAACTCTGTGCCAGAGAACAGAGATCCTACAGTATGGGCGTCTGATTTCTGGCTTGGAACTCCTTTTCTCTGAATTTCAGAAAGAATTACAAAATTGTATTCAAAGACAACGTCATATTAACAGTCAGAACAATGTTTAAACCTCTATTTCTATGGGCATTCTTTCCTATCACCCTCCTGAAAGAAGTGAAAGTCTGACTCAACACACATATAAAGACTGAGTATTATTCCACATGATTTTCAAGAACAAAGTCAGTGGAACAATACAGATATATTTCTAGAACAGCATTTCCAGTTACTGAGAGCTATACTTTAGTACAAATACTAACAACTTACTTGTGGGAAGTTCTTTTCTTCATCATGCTGGCAGACACTCCTGTATGACCTACAATATAAATAATGTTGAAATTATTGAAAAATAAAGTGTGCACACAAACCCAAAAAAAGCCATCATACACTAGAGTCTTCATTTTGAATGTCAAAATGCAAAGAATCTGAACACTTTGTGTTATGACTGATCAATTTAATTGCTACAATGGAAGGCTCTGCAGAGACAGACACAGTCTACATACTCATAAAGCTCATAAAACACCTTCTCCTCACCCCTTCCTTCTTCCTGGGCTTTACTCCCCATCTCTCTACCTCCTCTCCACCAGTAGCACAAGTGGACGGGAATGGGGGTCGCGGTTGGTCCATCTCAAGTTGTTGCTGCTGCTCCTTCCTCCTCAGCGAAGACTCCTCACACTCTTCCTCTGCTCCAGCCTGGGGTCCCCCATGCAAGATACAGTCCTCCATGAACTTCTCCGGCATGGGTCCTCCCCACAACTGCAGTTCTTCATGACCTAGAGAACAGGCTGCTCCAGCGTGAGTCCCTTCCATGGATGCATCCTTCAGGAACAGACTGCTCCAGTGGGGGTCCCTTACACGGGGTGCAGTCGTACAGGAACAGACTGCTCCAGCGTGGGTCCCTT